CGTGTTGTCGTAACCACATACATATGTCTGTTTTCTCCAATGAAGTTTCAGTTGTTAGTGTGCGCTGTGTCCACGTGTCTTCCTTTCGCACTTTAAATTTTTTCGCGCAACTAAGTTAAGATGAAGTACCAACTCGCCCAGCAGAACGTGCTTCTCAATATAATGTGTGTAAAATGTTTTAGAACTTTATGCACCCACTACGCAGTCGTGAGGGAATACGTGCAGTAACCAGTGTACCTTTTGTAATGGTTGGCTGTCTTTAGACCGCAAAGTCACGTTGGTAATAACGTGTTGTGATGCTTGATGACAATACACGCTTGTATCATGCAATATAGCTGCGATATTAAATGTTGTGTTGTGAAACCTGTATGCAGGATACATGTATTTGTTAAGCATGACAGTTATTTTCCTTGCATTTACAACAAGAGGAAGTTATTAATGCTTTATTTCCAAGCAGAAGCATAGCTGTGTGGTAGAGCACTTGCATGCCATGCAAATTGCCTGCATGATTTCGATCATCACTCATATCCGAAAATTTATAATATTTGTTTTATTTGCATTCTCTCAATTTTCGATCATTGACAAGACGATTTTTCACGGAGAGCCACCGATGCCTACACCGGAATTTTTGCAGAATGAGCTCTTTACCACTGTTACGTGTTATGAGAAAACGTGTACGTGCTACGCTATACCGGAGAGCAGTTTCAAATGCCGCACATGATGTTTTTGTTACATGTTTCAAGAAGCAAACTGCGATGAATGTATGTGTCGTAAGACTGTCTTTTTCAAAGCGAACAGTTTCGTTTTGGCTCTTTCGACCGCTTCTGTGGTCCGTAGGTTGGTTGTTGGAGGTTGACATTTCGCAGCTACTGCAGCTGATTAAATGGACATTGTGTATTCGCCTGCCACCATACTACCATCACGATTATTAATGGCTTTGTTGTTTTCCACGTAAAAGCGCGATGAATGAACAAATGCTTCCCAATTAACCTGATTGCAGTGTTCATACGCCGTTCAAGTCACAACAGACAGCGCAAGGAAGACACGAAATACAAGAAAGCACATGACACAGGCGATATAAACTGAAAATTTAAGGGAAAAAACGTGGCATATTTGAAACGGTGCGTGTGAAATTGCTGATAGGAGATAGCAGCATTCTTTTTTTATGATAACGGCATCTTTTGAAGAGAGTGGGTCATTATGACGCAAACGTAGTTTTCGACCTGGCAAAAAAAAAAGTGTGTACGCAAGCGTTGGCAAAAGGGCGCGCAATGGGCGGGCAGCTGCCAGTGGTGAAATGTTGATTGATATGTGGGGTTTAACGTCCCAAAACCACCATATGGTTATGAGAAATGCCGTAGTGGAGGGCTCCGGAAATTTCGGCCTCCTGGGGTTCTTTGACGTGCAGCGAAACCTGAGCACACGGGCCTACATTTCCGCCTCCATCGGAAATGCGTCCGCCGCAGTTGGGATATGAACCTGCGACCTGCGGGTTAGCAACCGAGTACCTTAGCCACTATACCACCACGGCGGGGCAGTGGTGAAATGTGCTCCATAAAGTGTACCCTTGACCATTCACTGGTACTGCATGCTACAATGGTGGTGTGCTCCGTCCCTTTGTCATGCGGTGGCACGTATACATCGATCAGATGGGATGATGTTGGAACGTCTAAGAGAGCACTCTCTGCTCTCTGAAAGGTACGCCGGGCTCCGCATTTTTCTCTCCAATGCTGGCAGTGTGATTGCGTGCCTGAACTGGAAAGAACCGCGGTAAAATAATGACGCGCAACAAGGAGAGGTGCACGCGCGAAATAGCAGAAGCATTTCAAATAACAAAAGCGAAAGACAAGTGCCTGAGCCTTCTATTAAACACTCACTTATGCTGAAATTTTCGGTCTTCAACATACTCGACTAGAAGCTTAGCCTGGTGTGATAATGTTTCTTTAGCGCCTCCACTTTTGTTCAAATATGCCCAGTTTTAGTGACAAACTTTCAGTTGAAAGACAACGCCTGTGTCGCGTTCTTCTCTGTGTTTCAGGTCTTTTTGTCGCTGGCCGTCATAAGTATACGCACTAACCAAGCTAGCTTGCTGCATCACTGCCGTTCAAGCACGTTATTCCGTGAATAAGACGAGTACCTTTCTGAGCATATAGAGATGTCCGTTCAGGTTTACCGGTCTTCTTCGCCAGATTTTTCTTTATTTACAATGCTCCGTCCACCGTGTTGGGGCAGTTGCAGCGCTCGAATGACGACCCCAAGGTCTCGGTTTTAATCCCTGCTGTGGTTTTCACGTTTCGATGGATGCGAAACGCCAGAGTTTCATGTACTGAGTGATACTGAGTGCTCGTTAAAGAACATCATGCAGATCAGTGGCAGACAGGGGGGAAGTGGGGGAGTTGGAGGTTCAACAACCTCCCAAAATTATCAATTCCGCTTGCCTAGATATACACGCGCACACACAAACGCACGCCCGAACATACCTAAAGTATGATTGATCCCCCCCCTCCCTGTGAAAAAAAAAAAATTGCTGCGCCCTGCACCACGCAGATGGTCGAAATTACCGGAGCACTCCACAACGGCATCTAGCCACTCATACTCGTAGCATGGCTTTGGGACGTGACCTCCCGCATATTAAGTATGCTGGTCTGTTTACACGAGTACTCCCCTCAAGGTTGTATCTGCGCAACAGCCCAATTGCACTCATGCGTTTTATTGGCCCGCTCAGCCTTCAAATTTCCGAATGAATTCAAAATACCACGCGCACGGCAATCGCCGAATGCTAAGAGGCTCATGCGAGCCTCCAAGGATTTACAGTTCAGGAGGAAACGGTACGAATGTAGAAGCTCGCTAAGGAGGATCTAGGTGCCGCCTATAGCGTGGGATTGGCTGCCATCGGGTCTACCATAACATTTGCATACACTACAGATCTTATCGTCTAAGCTTCTGTATAGTTACCTAATTCGCAAATCCACTGTGCAAGACTATTTGGCTGAAATATGCTGAAAGCTTTTACTACTAGACATTTCGGTTTTAGTCCTTCTTGGGAATATGGGAGATGGTTCGAGGTGGCTACAGTGAAAGCGCGATTTCGCAAGTGTGCCGTAAAAATATAGAACGAATACCAGTACTCTAAAGATTTATAAACGAAAGTTCTTGAGCATGTAAAGAAAAGAAAACGCACGAGCTCCCAAGTATATATATTCCATACCTGGTTTCAACCTGAGAGTATTACTTTATTTTTTCACCTGCTTTCCGGTTGTTACTAGGCCTATATATGAGTGGATTCCAGGTAATATGCCGAGAGTTTGGGAAGATGTGTGAACTCGCCGACAAAGGTTGTCTACAATCTGAATTTTACTGGGCTTCTATATTGTCGTGTTCATTTTGTTAATCTTTTTGTTGTCTTTTCTAACTACTAGTAGTTTAATCTCGACTTCTTTAATTTTTGATTTTTTATCATCCGTAGAGAGCATCTATAAAGAGTCTTGTTTTCTGCAATCTTCAATTCATGTTCGACTGTTTTTTTATTTGTATGATTTGTTATCACGCCGTATATTTTAGAGTTCGTTTTGGCAGGATTACACTCTTAAAAAAAAGGTAATAAAAAAGTAGCAACTGCAAGCAAATAAGTGGTAACTGCAGCGGTTACTATCTTTCTTGGACAGTTACTACACTTTTGCCACATGTTTGCTAGTAAACAGTTACTACCTGCAACGGTTACTAACTTTTTGCGACCTGTTAACTACCTCCGTTAGCAAGCAATTAGTAACTGCAATGAAAGAGGTAGTAACTGCAGTCTTTACTACCTTTTTTGCCCCTTTCCTACTTTTTTGCTACCCACCTGTTGTCTATCTTATCTAAAATAGTGTGCGACCTTGATTCTGGTAACTTATGAGAGGAATCGTCTCGACGTATGATCAATAAGCGGAAACAGGACACAGAAGATATCCAATGCTCAAGAAAAAAAGTTTGTTTTTAAGTTGTGCTACCGAGATATGTAAACGCCATTCTCGTAATTTTAAAACGGAGAATTACAAGTTAACGAACCATAAGCAAGTGCTACACGCGTTGTCATAGACAATTACAGCAAACTTAGTAAATTACATCAAATTAACAAGACCGACGGATCAGAATAACTATGTCGTAACAATTAGCCCCGAGGACAGTCACAATTAATCTACTGCAGCGTATCTCTAAATATTATCATTGTTTTGGCGCGTCCAAATCCCAAAACGATTATTACCTTTTAACAGCTTATATGTTAGCCGTGTGAAGCATTCAAATGCACTGATAATAAGTTCGGTACTTTGTTTCGGCCGCTGTACATAATGCCTTCTTGTGGTCCTTTTATAATAAATAGATATAACATATAATTTCTTACAGGTAAGGCTCATTGAAAGTATTGTGCTACATCCCCAAAAACACGTAATCAGGTAGCACAATGCAGTGTTATATAGGTTCACATTTGTTATAATTCATCCTGAAACACCAGTGCTCCTTTGTGCCAGACACGCACCTGCAAAGTAGGGGTTATATATATAACCCAACGCTTAGTTTATACTACATGTATGCGTAAAAAATAGTGAACTTGTTAGGTCATTGCATGTATTCTTCGTGTTCATGGCACACCACGCTTCATTACCTGAAGTTGTCTAGTAATTAGACATTGATTGACCAACATTAGCAGTCCCAATACTAATATGCCTAAGGAATGGACAAGGTAATATTGGTTACTACTTTGTTCTTAAAACCTTTAAAGTAACTACCCATGGGAGGTAACGGCTAGAGTAGTAACAGTTACTAATTGCTGGTAGTAACAGCAGAGATAGAAGGTACCACGACCATCGCCGCTATTAACTGCACCTACTACCTGGGTTGTAACATACGTAACAAAAAAATTACCACCCCAAACTTAGCAAGTACTACTACCTTTTTTCAAAGAGTGCATCATAATTATCTTCATAACCGAACCAGTGGAGTCGGTGGCGAAACCCACTCACCAGAAAAGGCGGCAACATCATGGAGGTCGGTATGAAGACAATATGGTAGTAGGGCAGAAACACGGCGTTCACCAGTGGCACAGAAAACCAGTCGTCGTCCTGGCGCGCCACCGACGTCTTGAGCAGAAGATTGCGCTGTTGGCGCTGCCGTCGCTTGGTGTCGACGTAAGCCACCCCGAAAGGAGAGCGCACAGTCTCGCGCTATAAAAAAGCAGCGCAATGAAAGTAAGTAAGCGGACACTTCAATGATTAAGGCTCACTCACACCTGCAACGCGCACCAAACTCACGATAATTTGCGGCCAAAAAGAGACTCAAGGTGACTGAGGTTTACAGCTGCGTGCAGCACGTCCCCATCACCGCACGGAATTCAAGTCCGCTGGCATATGGCTATAGCATTGCAATTTCCCGCCTGATAACCCAACTTCCTGTTCTTGCGCATATGACTGGTTTAGAGGTGTGCGTCAGAGGTGTGCGACCGCAGTCACGCGACTGCAGTCACGCGACTGCAAAATCAAGCAGGGAGAGGCGGAGCCAATGCAGTCGCATTGCGACCACGGCGGCCATTTTCGACCAGTCGCGTGACCGGTACAAGTCGCAAGTGTACTATAGGCCTCTTAGATTTAGGCTGAATAAATAAATGTTGGTGTTATAACAGCAGGATGAATATAGTTAGTAATCAATGATCATTTAGCCGTCCTTAGCCAATACTGTAGTCAACATCATCCTGTATTCTAGTAAACGTGTTAGTTAAAGTCACGTGGCTAATTGAGAAGATTTGTTAGGTCGTATATATACTGCGTTTACGAGCAGCATTTATTCCTTGCCAGGAGGGCGTCTCATTCCGTAAAAAATTGAGGGGAAGAGAGGTGAAGGAAAACACTGTGCTAGAAAGAAAGGAATACAGAACAGGAGACCGGAGACATTTGTAGCGGTAGCTCTGCTTGACTTGCCGGGACACAAAAGAACCCGCAATTAACGTTATCTGAACTTTGAGGTGCGCGTGAGGGCACAGTAAGTATACAAAATGGATAATAATAGCGATTACAGTGATTTTGGTTAGATTTTACTGACTCAATGACAGCTAATGCTTTAACGGGGAAGGGAAATGCGCATAAACAGATAGCTATTTATATCCACGAACATGGTGGCAAAACAGAGGCTTCTGCCATTTCCACTTACTTGCTTGATCATGCGTGTATTATTCTACAAAGATTAATACACTTCCTTTACTCTTTCATTAAATGTATTTTTTGTTGGTTTCATTAGGATTGCGATACATACGTTCACATACGTACCGTATTTGGGCCAACTCAAGTTTCAAGTTCCAACTAAGCTGCAACAAAAAGTAGCTGGTCAGTGTGTGCAGGGAAAAGCGTGGAGGGGGAGGGAGGGAGGAAGGCAGCAACACGTTTTGTTATGCGCTTCCTAGCAGAGACGCAGAAAAGGCATCCAACTCCTCGAAGGATAACCAAGGTATTGTTGAGAAACGGCGGACCGATCCCGCCGAAGCCACCACTGTTGCGAAAGACGGCGACGCCGACGCGGTCCCGGAGGCGCCACTGCTTTCGACCCCGCCGGGAAGGTCACCAGCCGTTTGGTAGCGTATGTTTCTCAGCTCGCGACTGCTTCTGCGCAGAGCTGAGGAGACGAGCGGACGAGACGACGGTGAGTTAAACAAGGTTTATGTACAGCATATATACAGAGGCGTTACAATTTCGGCACTGGGGCCGGCAGAGACTCGAAGAGCCGAGCTCCTCTCTCTAACACATAGGTCAGCCTTTCGCCTAAAACCGCTGATCGCGACACGCCGCAGGGCTTCTTTTATTTACACCGGGCCCAACTAAAATGTCCAATCAGAAGCGCCGCTGGTCTTCAGAGCAGGCTCCTCCAATGGGGTTCGCCGCGCGATGCGTCAGGCCACCAGACATGAGGACGCCGGCTCGCTGTCACGTGCGACGCTGACTCAATGCACGTGGGCCACAGATGCGCCGCGCGTGTTCACGCCGTGGAGTTGTTCGCGCCCGGCGGGCTGCGGGCTGGCCTTGACCCAGATTGCCTGTTTCAGAGGCACGGACGTTTGACGAGGACTCGCTGGCATAACAGCACCCCCGCCGCCAGACAATGCACCGGAAAGACGAGCTGCTTCCACGGGGCTCGGATGTCAGGTGCGCTCGTTCGCCAGGTCCCTCCAGGTTCGCCTCCAGGGCCATGGGGAGAATACAGCTCCAGACTGTTCCGGGAACACATCCCATCATTGACGACGGATCCCCGCTCCACTGGCTTGTCGCCACAACTTGCTGGCCAACTTCGCTCGTCTCTTCTGACCATTTTCGGTTTCAGCACTTGTCGATGGTTCTGCAACTTGCTAAGAACGGTTCGACAACAGACAACACACGACACAAGCAAGTGCCCTCGGTCACCCGACAGAACACCAGACAAAGTATAGTACAACATATACCTATCTACGTGTCTATCGGAATTTTGTTCCCTCTACATCAAGAGGCACATGTGGGACAAAAGACCCTTAAAATGACAACTCAATTTTTTTTTGTTTCCACGTACAACAACGTAACGAATCAGAATACCACAAAGTTGGCCCCTTGAGATCACTCTGAACGAGAGCGCTCAGCCCAGGTCGTGATGAGGTCAAAATTTTGCCCCGAATCGCCAACGAGAAACCGAAAAGTTGAGAAGTTACTAGCTGGAACGCACTGCTCAATGCACCTGCATTAGCGTTTACCTTTTTTTTTTTTCTTTAGCGAACGTCAAAGTTGCGCTGTGGAGCAACATGCTCCACTTCAGTAACCGGCCACTTTTAGGCGACGATACCTATGCGGCACCAAGAGCGGCTCACACTTTCGACGTTGCACAGGGGAACAACGATACGGCTTGCTACGGATTGACTCCTCACCGCTTAGCTCGATATCGTGTTCGATCACCCTCATGTTTCCGGGGCAGTCCGAAAACACGTCTTCAAACTCGGAACCAATCTTTCTCAGGTCCTCTTTCTCAGGTCCTCCTTCACTTAAGCTAGGCTCTAGGTTTATCTGCTCCCGGATTACTTTCGATCCCCCTTCGATTGCCTCACTAGAACTCAAAATTTCTGCTTCCTCTTCCCCTGAAGCCTTCAACAGCTGATTTACGACCGCTTGATGTTGAACATTGGGTTTCATCAAGTTGTAAATTTTGTTCTGCCGCCTTCCTACTTGCACCTCATAAGTTGTATCGCAAGGCTTCGATAATACTGTGGCGGGCCCTTCCCAATCAACCTCAAGCTTGTTCCTTTTGGGTGGCTGCCGCCGCATTACCTGATTATCAACTTCAAAAGCGCGCTTCTTCCCCGATTTCTCGTAGTGCTCCTTCGACAGCACTTTTGCCGCGTTTTTCTGGCTTTCCACGAGCGCTTCAATTTGGCTTTCCACTAGCGCTTCAATCGAGAGATCCTCACTCTGCCCTCGAATGAGCGTCTCTCGATCAACTCTCGGCAGCTCGCTCCAACTTTCCGCTACAGGCGAGAGCGTTGCAACCCTCTCGCTCTGACTCAATGGCGCCACGTCGTCTCCCCCAGCGCATACCGCGCCGGCCGCTCCCGCGACGGGCCGCTCGCGTGACTGCTCACATGACTCATGCGGAAAATTTCCTTTCTGGGGTTCCGTCGACCCGCCGACAAGGTCACTTGAGAGTTCACCGCATGGAACCAAGTCAAGCTTCCGCGAAAGCTTTCGCGCTTGCGATCGCGTGGGAGCCATGCACGCTAAGTTGGGGAAGAACGATTTGCCCTGCTCTTTGAGAAGCTGCTCCGAGTTGTTGGAGAAAAGATAAGAAAAACGACCGGGAAGCGCGGCAGACACAGCCGCTTCGGTGCAAAGCTTACCGAACGGGCCTTCAATGACAACCGTGGCGATAGGTAAGCAAGCACTCTGCTCCTCGGCGACTTGCCTGATCCACGCGCATTCTCCTGTAAAGTCATCCGGAGACACCAATGAAGGATGGACAACATCCATGGTTGCCGCGGAGTCTCTAAGTGCTCGACACGCTTTCCCATTCACACTAATTTCTTGGATATACGGCTCCAACAACCGCATGTTCTTTTCCGATTCTCTAATTGTTGCAAAAGCAAACTTTTGCTTACAGTTTATCGCGATGTGCCCTTCCTTTTTGCAGTTGTAGCAGATTAGTGGCTTCCGTGATTCAAACGCCCGTGTGGTATCAGTGCGTTGTTTAGAGACCTCACTCGATTTTTTCCGCTTCTGTTTTCTCTTCCTCTACAGTGTCCTTCGTAAGAGACGGGTCCTTTTTGAAATTACGGTGCGGAGCGGGTTTCCGTTGATCAGGTTTCTTTGAAAAGCCCTCTTTTCTTTCATCCTTTTCAACGCGCACTGCCCTGCTATGCAACTTTCGGCGAGTATAATACTCCTCAGCTAACTCTGCTGCCTTGTTTAACTGTACTTCACCAAGTTTGTCCTGCAGCCAAAGTTTAACATCCTCCTCGATGCAGCGGTAGAATTGCTCCAATGCAACGCATTCCACCACTTTATCGCGGTCGTCATAAACACCTTCGCCCTTGAGCCATTCGATCAAATCGGCTTTAAGACGAAACGCGAAGTCAACGTGTGACTCATTCCCCTTTTTAGCATACCGGAACCTTTGCCTGAAAGCCTCGGGTGACAACTTATAACGTCTCAAGAGCACTTCCTTAACCTCGTCATAGCTCTCAAACGCTTCCCTAGACAAGCAAGTTATCGCGTCGGACACTTCGCCGGGAAGAAGAGCTAGCAGGTTCCGCGCCCAAAGAGACTGCTCCAAAGCATTTCGCTCACAGACGTGTTCAAACTTGACGAGATACTTCGCCATGTCCTCGCCTACTACGAACGGTGGCAGTTGGTCCCGAATTCTGAAACCGCTGACCTGAATCGTCGGAGAAGCTACGCTAGGCGCCTGCGAACACTGTAGGATTGCCAATTCTAGTCGTTTCAACTCTAGGCGCTCTTGTCTCTCGGCCTCCTCGCGCTCGCGAGCTTCTCGCCTTTCTTCACGTTCGCGAGCTTCGCGCCTTTCTTCACGTTCGCGAGCTTCGCGCCTTTCAGCCTCTTCACGAGCTTCTCGCCTTTCAGCCTCCTCACGTTCGCGAGCTTCTACTTCTCGCCTTTCAGCCTCCTCACGGCGTGCTTTAATATCCACCCAGGCCTCATCGACTTCC